CATGAGTATTATCTTCTAATGACAAGAGACGACCATCTATGACTTCTATATGAACAGATTTAGTTTTCTTCACTAAAAATATGCTATGTCTTTTAGCAAATTCTTCATCTAAGAAACATATTGAGGCTCTTGAATCTAGCAAGGCAGAGGCTTTGTGATGTTTAGGTCCTAGAATAACATTTATCGTAAAACATGGAGAGGGTTTTGAGGAGAGGATAGGACCTTCACTAGGCGTTGTATAAGGTTCCAGTCGCACGGTCCCTATTATAGTTGGACAAATTTGTTTTCGAACATGCTATCTTCTGTAATTGCCGTACTCCTCATTTTATAGTTGCGTCGCTTCTTTGGGCGATCCCACTTGATATCAATTACAAGTTGTTAAAATTGTGAAACATACAATGTTACTGATTGATTATCTTATCGCAAAATATGGATCTTATTGGTTGCAACACGAATTGCATCATGCTCTCCATACATGGATCAAAACTCTACCAAAAAGTTTTCTAGATTATCCAATATTGGATCTCATCGTTCAAGAAAAGATGAAAATCATGATAATGGTGAACTTGAAAGAAGCGTACCAATGAATTTAACTTGTGATCCTGGAATTGGATAGCTTTGGGGTTGAAGTTCAATCATAAGTTGTATTTGATTGATAAATCCTCTAAACTTTGATTTAGTACCATCAAACTTCTCAGGTAGGGCAATTCTTGGTTTTTTAATACAAGAAGGGCGATCCACTATAGGAGAAAGGATATGATTTGGTACAGATGTTGAAGCAGCTTCAATCATTCTTTTATACATGTAATTACTAGCTTACATGCGTATGTCAGTGACAACTAATAAAGATTTAGTAGTATTAGACTTATGTTTTTTTACTTAAATAACAAACTTTTAGGTTAAACAATAGGAAGAATTAAAATTATAAGAAATCTAATCTATTTCCGAATTATATTCTTTAGCCACAATAATCCTAATATAATTAGATTAAATAAAAATCTGATAATATTAAATATTATTAAGCTATTATATCTATTAGTTGCTACATTTAAAAAAATAATTTCATAAGTAACATCTCTAGAAGATAATAAATGACTAATTATGACTTCTATATACACAAATTTAATTTTTTTAATTAAAGATATTTCTTGTTTTTTGACAAAATCTTTGTATATAAAATAAGTTGAGCTTGTTGAATTTAATAATGTAAAAAATTTGTAATTTTTTATTCTAAAAAAATATCTATTTTAAAATAAAATAAAAGATCTAAAAAAAGAGTATAATCTTTAGTAGATATTTTACAAGTTTCTAGTGGCACAATCTCTATTGTAGCTAAAAAAAAACTTACTTTTTACTATATTATCTGCTTTAGTAACCATATTCTTTAATCTATGATTATATTGTTTCTTAGAACAATGTTGAAATGTGCACTTAGATTCTTCACAATATAAGCACAAACCTTCATAACAACATCAAGTCTTTTTTTGCTCAGTGAGAGATTTAAAAAATATTATATCAATTTGCATGGATCTAATCTTAATAAATAAGTTTCTAAAAACTTGAAAGTTATTATCATGATTTGATTTATTCTTCTTCAATCAAAATTTTATTCTTGACATCTTTTAAAGATTTAATTATCACATGCAATAGGTTGAGCAATAAATTTTTCTAATGAATTTGCTCTTGGTATTGTTAATAACAAATCTTTGACATTATCTTTTAACCTATATTGAAATTAATTGATAAGAGCTTTATTATTTTAATCTTTATTGCAAAAAAGATTTTGGAATTTAGCAAAATATATGGTTATTGAATATGATTCTTATTTTAAAGATAAGAATTTAAAATGTGGCTATAAATACTTCTAATAATGAATTGACATCATAAAAAAATAATCAATTTTTTTCTATCAAAGGTACAAACCAAGAAAGAGTACTTCAAATTTAAAGTGTACCTATGAATCCAACTTGAGTGAATTTATTAGGATATTGAGAAGAATGCAATCTTAGATAGAGTTTCACTAGTTGTTTCATTTTTGTCTAATATTTATACGTTAATTTATCTTAGCATACTAAATTAGCAAGAATTTTATTGTCTTAATGTTTTTAGATCATTTTTTTATTTCTTAAGTGTAAAATATCAATAATGGCTCAAACAATATATCCACTATCTTTGTACACATAATAAAACAAAGTTGATAATAAACACCATTTAACAAATTATAAATTCTACTAACTTAAGAAGCATCTTGATTGTCTTTTTATGGAAGTTTTTTCTTAAAATAAAATTAAAAAAGAATAATATAATTTTTATTAATTTTTATTTCAGTAAACAAAAACAAATAGAAATGATTAAAATTAGATAAGTTAGATAGTATCTTTCACAAAAAAATGTTAACAAAATATTTTCAACACACATCAAAGTTATAGATGCACCATGAGCTTAAAGTGATTTTTTTAGAAAAATTACACTTTTTTAAAGTCTCTTTAGAATTCTTTTTTTATAATTTAGATATTTTGCTTGCAAACCTTGTGGTCCTTGATAAAGTTCTTTGTATTCTTTTAACCAGCTAGTGTTAATAAAGGCGTGATTATGGCTAACTTCAGTCTTGTCAATAATATTCTTATATTGTGGTCTTAATTTAAAACTATTTGATTTCTATATGCTAAGCAATAGCTACTCTAACACCTCTTAGTTTTATATTTAAAATTAGTTTTATCTTTCTTCTCTTTTCTTGATTGTATATAAAAATAATGTCTTATGTCAAGTTTTTTTTAGATTACTTTTTGAAAAAAAAAAATTGTTATATTACAAGTATCTTTTTAGATTTTAAAACTATTCCATTCAAACCAAAAATTATATCTAAATTAAAAATAATAATAATAATAATAATAATAATAATAATAATCATCTTTAAATTCTATAAGTACTGGTGATATAATTACATCTTATTTTTAATTTTTTTTTAAAGCATCTGATAATAATGTATTAAACTTAGATATTTTAATTGGCTTTATTTTTCTATTACATAGTTTTAAGTAATAATTTTGCCATACTTTTACAAAATTGTATTGATAATAAGTTATTTGGTAAAGAAAAAGTTTAAATTCTATCAATAATAATTATAATTTATTTTCTTGAATTGCTTTGAACTTCTTTTTTTATACCTTTATTTATTTATTTAAATTTTACTTGAATAATTTTGTCTTATTATCTAGTATTTCTTAATTTCTTTTATTTTTTTAGTTATCAAATAAATTGAAAATGTGTATGTGTATAAAGTTTTTTTAAATAACTTAATTTGGATTTTTTTTTTTTTAGTTCTAATCTTTTCTATTACATTAAATGTTCCAATATTTTCTAATTTTAATACATTTCAATGCAAGGCTTCTAATAATAATAAATTATCAAGAAAATAAAGTAAAAAAAAAATCAAATTCCTATTTTTAATTATAATGAATTTATTTATTCTATCTTATTTTTCTTTAAGAGTTTAAACTTTTTACATTTTTAGAATTAAATTTTTGAAAGCATTAACATACCACACATGTTCTTATTATTATTTAGATAGAATATTATGTCAAATTTAATGCCTAAATTAACTAACATTTTTAAGTCTAAATCTGATACAATTATATAAAAATCTATAAGTTTTAATCTACATGTAACCATGTAAAAATTTTAAAAATTAATATAAGTCTTAAAGTCCTAGGAATCTTAAACTCTAATTTTTAAACTGTAAGGTTGAAATTTACAACATAATGTAAGATTTCAAAAAAAATTATTTATTTATTTTAATAATATTAATAATTTTAATAAGATATTACAACCTAGGTATTTCTAGTTTAGTCTTCCCTTATATTTATCACAGTCCTAAGTAGTTTATTTAAAAATATAAAAAGTCAAAATTAAAAAATATGTAATGAAAAAAGAATTATTCTTTGAGAAAGCTTTTTTAAGATTTTTGTACTGTGATCTTTGAAAGCGAACTTTTAGGTGTAAAGACCACCTAAGGTATCTTTTATCTTATACATTTATTTATACTATAGCAAATAGTTTCTATAAAAGCTTCTAGAGGTTTTGAAAGCTACAAAACATTCTAGAAGTATAAGAGAACCTTCAATAAACAGTTCTTGAAAACTAAAAACAAAATAAAATAAAATAAAAAATTCATGTATACACAAAGAATAAATTTAAGGATTTTATTAAATAAATTATAAAAAAGAGTCTTTTAAAATTAATTATAATTTTTGAAATTTAAAATAAATTCATTTTTTAAAAAATTGCAAAAGTTATAATTAAATGTAAAAGACTTGTTTTAGTGTTACAATCTTCTTTAGACATGTTTAGTGTATTTTGACAACAAATTAATTTTAGTGCTAGGAAAATATGTAATTTTTTCGTAAAAATCTAAAATTGTTAAAAATGCTAAAACAGATGATTATATGTGTATGAATAATCTATAATTCAATATGATGCTGCATCTTACAAGCATTCTATGTGCTTTGTCAATACTCTTCAGGTGAATTTTATCCGCAAAACCATCATCTTCAAAATCTTCTAAATCAATTAAATGTAAGATTTCATGAAGTTCTTCAAACAAGCATCGACATTCCGTCTTCCTGTGCTCACAAGGTGTGTTGATAAAGTGGTCATCAGTTGTGCAAATTTTGGAATGGTTGGATTTATGGCAAGTAATTTTGTAATTGAGCCATTCTTCCGTGAGTTTCGAATCAGATAGGAAATAATCCGCAGACCTCGATAGTTGCCAACGTCAACATGGCATGGCGTTTGTGACAATTGGAACAACAATCCATTTCTTTTCGAAAAATTTGCTTTGCAGGTGATGGTTTTGCGGATAAAATTCCAGCAACGAGGACATTAAACACGGCTGACACTTGGATTGAGACATGACAGCAGTGTGATCAAAGACTTAATGCTTCACGAGGGGAAACAAAACAAAAAAAAAAAAAAAAAAAAAAAAAAAAAGTACACCAGGATTGAGAGTGCCAAAGCTGCAAGGAATGCAGCAACACTACCTTAGTTCGTTCTAATGTCCTAAACAACCCGCCGTTTACAGAGCTGACTGATTTACAATACAAGTCTTGCTGTGAAGTGCTAACACAAGTCCACACCTGGTCACCCCCGTCGTTACAAACTGACGCCCAGTAGGGTGAAAGATTGGGAAGGCATGATAACTATGGATTCTCTGCTCAAGTTTCGATTGGGCCTATATCAAAAACTACGTCTTTCTAAAACCTTCTACGATGACTCCTTGGGGTCTGGTCTCCAGAATTTCTTCTGCACAGCGAGGAGCTCCTCATTTTGCTTTGAAAATGACAGTTTCACATCCCAGTGAAGTGACTTGAGAATCTCCTCCACCTCAACTAGGTTGGACTTCTCATCGCGGAAGATAGCCCAACCATCGGGCCGCAAGATGCGGTCCATCTCCATCATCAAATGTACTATGCTACATTCCCTGCCAGAAATTTAAAAAAAAAAAAAAAGGAAAAAAAGGAAAATCTGTGAGATAACTAGACTCGAAAATTGTTAACACTACACTAACAAGACGTAGTGTGAACCTGTAGCGGCAAAGATCATGGCGTTTCTACGTCTTGGAAGAGCGTGTTATGACATTGTGAAATGATTCGGAGGTCGAGAAGAAACTTACTTTGCCTTAACAGAGGTAATCAGGTGATCTACATGGAGGAGATCGTAAGTCCTGGGGTATGTGCTGTGAGGCTCGCACCAATTATGGTACATGCCAATGAATCCTCTGTCGTAAATGATTGGAAGTGTATCTGGTTCGGTTACGGGCACAATGTTCAACACCCACACCTTTTCCGCTCTAAGTGCAGCAGCGAATCTGTCCAACCGAACCCAGCATGACGTTTCATTTGATTATTGTCATGGAACTTAATCAGCGTCAACAATCAAATAAAATCAAATCAACAGTAGGTGTAAAAAACACGAGTATCGCCCGCAAATGACTTTCAGAGAAGCCAAGGAGTAGGAGAAATGCTTACCCTCCGTAGCCAGCCTTCATGTCCATAACATTTCTAATAGTGCTCCAATCAATTCCAAGTTCAGGCAAGTAGGTCTTTGCTACAACACGCTCCCAATGTTTGGTATCAGTGTCGAAATCTTCGGGAGCTGGCTTCCCATAAAGACCAGTATCCTTCGAGTTCAACCACTTGGGAACAGCCGTGGCTCGGAGAGGCCACTCCTCGGGCCATTCAGAACGCTTGGTATCCGGAATTTTGTAAATACATGGTGTCATCTTCACATACCTGTACCAATTACATTCCTAATAACTTAATAAACCCAGATGTGTTCTGTCACCGAAACAAATGACGTGATGGAGGCCCAAAAGATCTAGAAAAAGAAAAATGATTAGCGTGCATTGACCTCCAGGAATACACAAGGAATCCATATTCACATGTTTTCTAAGTGATGAAAAATTCATTATCAGTTCATGCATTCTACGTCACTTGTATTTTAATGACACTCGTGATCCAGAATCCACGCACCAAGCAGCATTCGGATTGTCATCCTGACACATCTCAGGTCCCCCACCCGTTGAACTTTCGTATACTTCATTGGTTGCAGGTTTCTGGAAAATTGCAACTCCAATCTGAGTCTCCTCATCTGTTTCCTTAGCCACCATTTTCCAGCGCATAGCCTCTATCACGGCAGTCGTGTCTGCGTCACACATCATGTCAACAACTTTTCATGCACGGACCTGATCAGATCCATAAAAAAGAAAAACATACTTGATCAGCAATAAGATCACGATGCATGCTCCACATCTCTTCTCGATAACTTCCAAAGCTTCACTCACGTGTTCATCGTGAATACCTTTCCAGATCTGCTTATCCTCTTCAAGGTCCTGATAGACGGGGGTAGCAGACCACACAAAATGGCCCCCAGGTCTCAACACTCTGTTCAACTCCAACAGCAACTTGCCACCTGCGGAGCACCAAGGTAACTTAACATCATCATATTTAAAGCGGCTTTGCATCGCATCTTGAAACCAATTCACAAGCAACCTGCATGCGAACAACTATAACGCATGCAGAGTATCAAGAAGAGTAGTTGAAGCATTGAAAGGCACGTATTCAAAGTGATTACGAGCGTGATTACCATCAACGTGCCAAGGCACCCGGCAACGAGCACAGTGAACAACGTCGAATGAGTTGCTGGAGAATACAAGACGTTGCGTGCCCATTACTGATGAAAAGGCAGGAATCCCTCTTTCCAATGCCAGCTGCACTTGAGCTTCATGCTCATCTCTCGGGGCAAAAGACATGGCTAGCACATCCCTGTCATATAGGTAGCCTCCAAAACTGGCAACACCACAGCCTACATCCAACAAGACTCGTGTGTGTTTTCCCCATCTAATAGTTGGGTAAATCTGACGAAAACACACCCCATAACTTGTTCAGCATATCTTCCTTACAAATGAAACTGGAGAATCATGACAATATAAAGATTTGATCAAAACTACGATCCTAAGAGAAGTAACAAAATTAGCAAAGCAAGGGTTGAACCATCACTTAACATGCTCAGATTTAGCATTAGGTCACTCAGAGACCTCATATGCTCAGAAATAATGCGACTCCACACAACAAGAAAGCATAAACAATGGATAGCTAAGCAAGGTTCAAGACCCGGACACACTATACCTTCTGCACCCAGTCGATGTAGTGGCCAGCACCATGCTTGAATTGTGTTCCACCACCAGGAAAAATAAGTTTCTCGCCCTGCTTTTTTACCCAGTTCTGATCCTTCTTGTATTGAGCGAGACCAGCATGAGGTACATTGTTATACCACGTCTGCGGTATCCATGTTATCAGAAATTAGACACCTTTTTGAGAAATGTGATAAAAACCCACAGCTGGCACGGTTTGAAAAATACCAAAAAATTAATCTAAATAGAATCAGCAAGAAAGTTACAGTGTACAGGGATCGAACGTACTTCGCTACGACTATCAGGCCATTTGATATGCGGTTTATAACCAGCAGGCAAGGGCACCAAACACTTGGGCAGCTGTTTGGGAGTAGGGCAGTGGCGCTCTCTATGCTCGTAATGCTTGCGCTGCTTGTGAGTGGTAAGCCATTTCTTATTGTCAAGACAAGGGATATAATCCTGAGCACCGCGCCATTCGCAAAGCTTCCATTTGTATTTCGGGGCTTCTACCTTTGCCACCGCTTCTTGAATGACAATCGGTGTAGTAGCCATCTCCTGCTTCTCTTCAATCTTCTTCTCTTCTTCGGTAAGAGTCGCAGGTTCAGTCTCCTCAGAGGATGAAGTCTCGGGCACTGCCTCAAGGTCAGTCTTAACGACATCAGTAAATTTCTTTGTCGCTTCCTTCTCTTCCGTAGACTCTTCATCTTGTGATTTCCAAGAGCTCGTAGCATCCTGTGAGTCCGGGTCTGAGGTGGTGTGTGACTCGCTAGTATCGACTGAAGGAAGCTCATCAGCATCCTGACTCTCACCCTTCGTCCCGTCAGCGCTTGATTCGTCTGTTGCATCTTCGATCGCTTCATGCTTCTTGGCAACAAGAGAGTCCCCAATATCGTCATCACGCTGGACCTCCTCCTTGACTGTGCGGCTCTCTCCATCCTCCACAGCGTCCTCCTTGGCCTCGTCATCGGCTGGTCCTATCTTCACAGCTATCTTGGCTTCCTCTTCAGCCTTCTTAGCTTCCTCCTCAGCCTTTCTCTCTTCCTGAAGAGACTTGTCTAAGATCGTGCTCTCGTCAACCTCTGGTGACTCTTCTTCTGGTCGCCTTTCAGACTCGTCACTTGTTTCCTCACCCTTGTCGTTTTCATCTATGCTTTGATCAGCTTCAACCTTATCTGTCTCATCATCTTTAGAATCGTCATCCAACTGTGCATCGACCGAAGCATCAGTAGTCTTCTCAAAATCCTTGATTGTTTCGCTTGGTTGTGTAGCAGTCTTATACTGCACATCTTCTATTGGTGCAGGGCTGGTGTAAACCCAGACTCCAATGAAAACGAAGGCGACAAAGAGAGACCCAAGAATGATAACATGCGGCGCGGGCCCGCGCCGCTCCTGCCTGCCATGCTTAGGGAACACCATGGCTACTTATTCAGACCAGCTGGAAAAAAAGAAACACATCAAAACTGTGAGTCCAAACATGCTTGCCACGGTAAAAAGCCTTCCAACACACCCAAGAAAAACAAAAAATTTACTGTGTTAACATGCAAGCAATTTTCAATGAATCCATTTGATCTGACATACAGTCTTGAAGTCCAATCATAGAGCTCACTGCGGGAACCCACGACCCCTTGCAAAAAATTCATCCTCAATGCAAGGGTATGATGTAAAAGTGCAAACGAGCCTCTCGAAGTTAATACCGAGCATTCGGGATTCTGTTTGAAGCATGCTTCCCTCAGGAAAGAACTAGAATTTGCACAATAGCATGAGAAGACCGAACTAAAGTTATAAAACCCAGGCTACTTCGAGAAACATTTACAACACTCATGCGGCAGTAAATTCTTTACAACCACCTTTGAGACACAGACCAACGCCCTGAGTTCCAAAGCGAGACCTTCACTAGTGAGTCCATGAGTATCTAGACTCAGTGCAGAAAAACGCAATCTGTTGCTGTGCCTTCATACCTAAGGACTACACATCTCCTCCGACATGGACAGGCATATCTCTGTTCTCCAAGATTTGAATGAAATGCTACCGAAGAAGGGCAAGGCGGCCAGGTTTTAGGAAAAAAAAACCTTGGGTGCGGGAACAGACATAAGCGGAAAACTGAAATGGCTGCAGAGAAGCAGTATGAAGAGAGGAGCTGCGAAAATATGAAGAGCCAAAGCGGAATGAATCTCCACAAAACAAGGAAGATACCAATCATCGGACGTTCACTAGGTTACAACAAACTTCGAAAACATACAATTTTGACCTCTCTTCGGAACATACTCGTAAAAGCTCCCAACGCCCTCAACACCTCTGAGGCATCGTAACAGGGGAGATCTACCGACATGGGAAGTTTCTCAAACTCCTCAAAAGTCGTCCTTATCCTCTGACTTCCCCACTTCCCGAAAATGCAAAACACATCTTTCTTTGAAACAATCCACAGAATCTGCTCCGCAACACTAAACATTCACGGCCACGTCCACCTCGCTTTCCTCCAACAGACCAAGCCCTAACATCCACAAAATCACCACAACTGAAGCTCTGCGACTGCAAATCCAACTTTTCTCTTCACGAGAGCTCAGATCCTCGCCACATTACAGCCCCCAACTCTCAACACCCAAGCAACTCACACCAAAACCTCAGATCCGGACCTGCGCAGCTTGTGACGCCGCCGTCTCAGTGTGACATCGCCCAAAACTCCTCCTGCGAACTGGTCACTCACTAATCTGACGAGCAGCCGCAGTAGCAGCAGCAGCAGCAACTGGTGTTGATTGAGGCTGATGAATGAGCCTGCGTTCCTGACAACAACACCATCAACAGAAACTCGCCACGATTGACGCCGAATCGCAGACAGAGCAGTAACGATCAGATCAAGGGTCTCAGACCACAAAACTAACTATTCTTCTAGCGTGCGGGAGATTGATTGCAACCCAACCACGGAGGGAGGAAGAGGGAGAATAGGGAGGACCGAGTTGTAGCAGGGAGGGAGGGAGGGCCTAAGACCATGCCCCCGGGGCTTCCATATTTCCCCTTCTTCGACTGCCTGACTTCAGGTCTCTCAATTCAGTCCATCGCTGATTTAGCGTCGTCCTCGGCAAGACAAGACAAGGCTATAGATAGATAGATGATGATGATGACATCTCACAATCTGGGCTTTGCTTTTACGACGATGACGATCCTGCAGGACTCAAAATCTATCGACCCCTGACTGCGGTATCCGGATTCCACTAAGTTACATACACCAGGTTGCTTGCTTGCTTGCCGATTGATTCTGCTCCACATCTCGCTTCTTTCACTCCATCGCCCTCCCTCACTCCTCGTGCCCACGCTGCTTCCTCTTCTGCTTCTCTTCTTACTTTTTTCCTTCTTTCATTCATTCTGTTTTTTGTTCAAGCTAGAATGTATCAGGTCGTTCGACTAGACCCATCTGGGGCTTCTGCCGCCTTTATTTTATTTTATTTATTTATTTATTCTGTCCACAGCTGGATGGGTACCTGAGCGAATGCAGGATATTATTCTGAAACTGGGTATAATAATAAAATCCTTTGCATTTGGGGGCTAGTGTTGGTGGGGGTGGGCGTCTTATAAGCCTTTTATTTCGGGGTCTTGAATCTTTAATAATTTATTTTTTACCTCTGCTGTATGCTGATGCCTTCATGGATTCGTGAATTAGTTCATAATCGGTCTTTTATTTGGAAGAGGTTTTACAGCTTTAGTAGAGCTTTGCCTTAAATTGTTTGTGCATACAATGTTTCAGATTGTCGCAGTGTGAGTTGTATTTATGTTTTTCTTTTAGGTTTATTGTTATTTATTGTTATTAAGTTTTGTGGAACATTTTGCAAGATACCAATTTTCTTGATTAAATTTCTTGACTTGAATGTGTTAGGCAGTTGGTTATGGAAATATATATATATATATATATATAGGCCCTCACTTTATCATAACTAAAATTAAGATAGTCAAACTCCTTACTTTCTTGGTTGAGGAGGAATCTCAAGATTCTCAAACAATTTATTCATCTGCATTACAATACCAAAGTGCACAATCTCTTTAATTTTTTGTCAGAACACAATTACGTTATGTGTTGACCACTACTCTTTCATGGCATATGACCTATATTAAAACAATTTCTTATTAATTTCTAATTAAATTTTAAATTTTTTATGAAAATGAATTTTGTAACTTGTAATTTTTTATTTATATTTATATTTTTATTATTTTATTGATCTTAATTTTAGAAATTACTTATATTTTCTATGCAATCATGAACATCTTATCAGCAAGCAAAGGCCTTTTAGATGGTTAGAAGTCATTTTGTACTCAAAACCTCATATGATTAGATAAAACTTAAATAAATAAGTCTTAATTATATTAGTTACTATATCCCTAGATATATTTTAACTATTATAAAATCCATAGTAACATATTAAAGATAATTTTTGGTGGGTATATTTTATTTTCCTTCAGTTAAAAGTTCGTCTTAAAAAAATCAAATAATTTTATATTTATACATTAAAAAATACATTCTACTTTAGAATAGTTGATATATACATTTAAAGACAAATATCTTACCATGTGAACTGTTGTAATTATGTTATTTAAACTTGAACAACAATTTGATTTGTAAAGCTCAATAATTATCTTTTTTATTATAAAAAATTTGAAGAAAAAATAATACATTAGAATATCATATCTTGATTTATTTGACAATAATCTACAAGAATTTGTTTTATCCAAATCTAAATATTTCAATCCTTGCTTATTTATTTTCATAAAAATATCTGTAATAATTACCATATTCTTTACTTGAGGATAAGTGATAATCTTGATATCATGTGTTATGAAATGAATTTATAAAAACTAAATTTATGAAAAAAATTAATCAATTTGATTAAAATTCTTTATAATTATTTTGGTAAAGTCAAATAAATTAAACTTAATTTCTTAAAGTAAAATATAATAGATATTTTTACATACTAATTTCATGAAAAATAAAAAGGTAACAAAGAAGTTGAATATTTAATTTAGGATATTTTTTAGACTTATCAAATTAAGTGTAGTAGCATGCCTATGATCAACTACAAAAAAACAATATAAAAAAAAATCTTATATTATTTCAATTAAACTTATTTTTTTATAATTTTTTTCTTATTGCTTCAAGAATTTGATCCACTTTCATTCAATTATAAAAACATTTAATCAAAATACACATTGTCTTTTTTTAAAAAATAAAAATTATATTTTAAGTAATATAGCATTAGTTCTAATATATTTAAAATAAAAAACTCGAAATCCAAAATATCTTCTTTGAATAAAATAATTTATTATCAATATTAGATTTTATTATTTTTAAATATATTTAAATAAAATTTTAAATATATATATATAATTTATACATATTATATATATATATTATATATATATATATTATATGTATATTATAAGAAATTTTATGAGTCTTTAAAAGAACAAAAAATAATTATTAAATCATCTATTTTATCAAATTATATATTAAATTATATTTTTAGATTTTTTATAGCCATTTTATAAATAATAAATTTTATATAATATTTTTAATAATTTATAATCTTCAAAAATAATATGCACGGTCTTATTATTATTATTCTTTGTATAGTTGAATTTTTAAAAATAGCCAAAGAAAAATCTAGCAAAATATTTTGAATTATTAATTTCAAGAAGAAAAAAAAATACATTTATGTAGATATGCTTTGAAAAAAGAATAAAAAATTAAAAATACTTAGATTTTATAGATTATATGTTTTTTAAATATAGGTAAGTAAAAACTTATAATTATACAATACCAAATTTTATTAAAAATTATAGTAAGATATCTTATTACCAATCTAAAATATGAATTTTGATGTGAATTTTTATGATTATATTTTAATAATCTTATAAGATGATTTATCTTAATTCTATCATAATCAAAGGCCCAATTTGTGTTCAATAACTTTATAGAACTTTTTAAGATTAAATAGAGTCTATTAGCATGTATTTATCTTATAAGTATTTTTTTAAATTATATTTTAAAACCACTATTTGTTTTAATAAATTTATTGATAAAAATGAAATAATTCTAATTTAGCATAGTTTCTTAGTTATTGTGGTTTTACTAATATCAATCATCTCATTACATAAATCTATTTTATTTAAATAAGTAAGAGTAGGTAGAAATAGATTAGATCATTAATTTCTTCAAAAAATACATTATAGAAATAATTAGGCACATATCAAATCTATAAGTGTTTTATTAAACTATAGTAATTTTTTTATAATTTATTCTAATTTTAGAAATTTATTGTAGACAAGCATTTTAACTCAAAAACTTGGCTTGCAAGTCCCATGGTTCTTAAAGAAATTCTCTTAGATACTTTATTATTTAATATAAATTGAGGCAAGATTAATGTCATTTTTAATCTTATTATTTTTTTCTAATATTAGTTTGATATTTTTTGGTTTTTTTGTATCTTATAAAATTATTTTTGGTATTTATATGATATATATATATATATATATATATATATTTGTTTTTTTTAAAAAAATATAAATAACTCATGTGATTGAAATTAAAAAAAATATATTATTTTAAAAATAAAATATTTAAATTTTTAATAAAATATAAATTATTTCTTTAAAAAAATATATTTTATTAATATTAATGTTATTTTATTACTATTATTTTATAATAATCTCTTAAAAAATACATTATAATTCTTTAATATGTAAGAGAATCAATAGAAAAAAATTATTATAAGATAAGTATAAAAATAAAAATAATAAAAGATATTATTATGAATTAAATTTATTTATTATATTATCTATATTTAGAATAATTAATTAAAAAGACATAAAAATCAAATAAATCTCTTTATTAAGTATATTGCATTGAATTGCTATATTAATTTTAGATTGTTATAAAATTACAATATGATCTATCAACAAATCTATATTTTTCTTTTTAAAAAAAAATTAATAAAAAATAAAAAGTATATTTTTTATATTTATTAATTTAATAAAATTTATTCTTATGTTTTTAAAAAATATTATCTAGTTTTAATATTTCAAATGAAGTTCATTAAAATTTTACTTAATACAATACTTCTATCTTAGTTTTTATTGTTTTTAGGTCTAAAAGTTCCAAAATTATAATATTAGATATATTTTTGTTATAATTTTGATTTATTAATAAAAAATAATAATTCTTTTATTACTATAGACATATATATATTTATTCAAATATTTATCTATATATTTAAGTAGAAGTAGGTAAAAGTAGATTTATTTCATAATATTTTTTAAATTAACTTTTTAGAAGCTTTATAGATATTGCTTTGACTTTACATGTATTTGCAGTTGATTGGTAGGTTAGAAACTTGATCAATAAGTTAACCATGTGTTAATAACTTGCAGAACAAAGTAACTATGTAGGACATATATAGATAATTTGCCTTGCAAATTAAGTCAAATGTCTAGTAAAGTCAACATATATTGGAGATCCTATAGAATATTGTCATATAGCTTTTAGTTAGATAATATATATGGAGGCAAGAGTGAAGCCTTTTTCATTCTTGTCAATGCCTTTCTAGTCCTTAGTCTTATTTCAAGACTTTCTAAAGTTTTTTTTTTTTTTTTTTTTTTTTTTTTTTTTTTTTTTTGTTAAATGATAGAAGAATGTATTGAGGATTTTCTTCTTCAAGATTTATATTCTTTGACAATTTGATAAGAGTTTTAATTTATTATTCTTATCTTATTTTAAAAGTGAATAGATTACTCTACTTCTATTGTTTATTTTGAAGGTTGCAAATTATCCATCTTTAAGTAAACTATTTAATTTTTTAACATTGATTTTTTTCTTAAAAATAGTAGATTATTTTTTTTGAAGAAATTTTTATTTAACATTAGAGATTATGGATTATCTTCCTCTGATTTGACTTATGGATTGATTAAGCTATTCGAAATAGAAGAAAAAATCATAGATGCTATACTTAGCAAAAGTGAGAATAGATTTGCAACTATTACAAATCTTTAGAATATCAAAATTTTAAAGATTTTTGTAAGAAGTTAAGCTCTATCTAAGTATTACAGACATACATAGGTATTCTAGTAAATATCTATATGATTAGGTAGGAATAGATAAAAATAGATAAAAATAGATTAATTTTATAAGACCTTTTAGAAAAGCTTCTTAAAAGCTTTATAGATGCTACTTGACTTTACATGTATTTGTAGTTGATTAGTAGGTTAGA